TCATAGCGGCATTAATCTAGAAGGCCCTTCAACAATATGATGAGACCTGATCATGCATGAGGACATAGTTTTTAGTTAATCCCAGGGTGGGTGTGCACGTTTGGACAGGACACAACAAGCTAACCTCACCGCAGACTGGGAGGTTTCCAGAGAAAGTGATCCTTTTGCTAACTGTTTGTTTAAAAGCTGACAGGCTACAAGAGTCTCAGTGACAGCATCTATTCATCTCAGGGTGTCAGGCAGAGAAACAGAGTGGACCAAGAAGGGATAAAGAAACACAGAGCGACAGAGAAAGAGAGAGGAGGTGGATGAAGAGAGATTGTGGGAGTAAATAGGAGAGTAGTGGGCTTTAACAATAGGCCGAAGTTACCTTCAGCTTTGAAACATCTTCAGATCACCTCAGTGTTAATTTCAGAAATTCATCCGGCGAGTGACTGAATGAGTGCTGATGTTTTCATCACTTTGGTTTTAATTATATGTCTCACTCAGCACACTCTTGCTTCTACTCGGCTAATTTAGATTGAGATCCTTCCAGGCTTTCCCCTATCTTTCATTTCCCTCCCCTTCTTCTCTCCTCTCTGCATCCCATCAGCCCCTTTGTAGAAAAAAAAGAGGAAGGAAAAAAAAAACCTTCATGTCTGTGACTTTCTTGCCCTCCAGCGTCTGAAGCCCTCTTTTATTTTGATCATCGCAGCACAATGGATTCATGCCATTCTGGCAACTTTATTCAGTATCAGCCCAAATTTACATACTGCTTAACAAGTTTGTGCGTGACTGTTGATGCCTCTGATCAAAGTGCTTTTGGAAATCTTTCTCATCTGATTTTTCCCCCCCTGCCCTTCATTTCAAATGCATGCTGCAGACAGGCATCTTTAACTCAGGGGCAAAGAAAGGTAACCTTAGTGCTGCACAAGCCCAAATGTCATCCAACAAGGAGGGCTCATGTCCCGGGGATAAAGATAATGTAATCTAAGCAGTATACAGTGTGTGGCTGTGTGTCTTTGAGTGTGTGTGAATCTATGTTAGCCTCGGTGTTTGTTGGAGGCTTGGGTTTGGGGGTGGAGGGAGACAGGGGATGACAAAAGTCAAAGCAGTCATGTGTCATTTTCGGTGCTGAAGGGCTGGGACCTGCCTGCAGGGCTGTCCTCTCTGTCAGACGCACTCACATATCTGCGCTCAACTCTCTCTCTCTCTCTCACTGTCTCCTTTTTCTTTCGCTCTCTCCATCTTTCTCTCTGTCTTTATTGAATGCATGCACAGATTTGCAGCTGCACAAGAACACGCAATCATTTCGTGCTCTAAAAGTAGCAAAGAATCAAGTTGGGTCAAAACTGTGCATTTTCAATTTTACACATCTGCTTGAGATTTACAGCGAGTGGTGAAATCTAAATTATTTCACCTTTACCACACCAAAAAGGACCTGAAGGGACAAGATTTCCTCCACAACTTGCAACCAAAACACTGTTGAGGTGCAACAGAACAAGCAAGGGGATTTTTCTAGCCACGATGAGGTTGTAAATCAAGATATCAAAGGCCACTCTGCAAACCAAAGGCCCGTTAAATTCCTGTGGGGGTAGAAGAGGAAGCAGCACTGAAAATGTACTGTAGCTTACTCATCGCAGGAACCAAGTAGCCTTCATTTACAACACAGTACATTTGTAAATACACGTGGCCAGCAGAGCAAACAACAGAATTGAGAACATTAAATAACTGAGAAAGAAAAATGGATTCAAAAATACAATGAGAGGGTGTGGGTGGAAAGAGAGGAATCGTGGGAATGCAAGATTGCACCTCCCTCAGGCAATCGAATTATCCTATGGGCTGATGGTTCCTCCTTATGCGTCGGCTGACATTTTCCTGTAACCCCATCCCGAGTAATGCTATGTGATGTGTGTGACTGGCTTCTGCCACGGCCCTGAGAGGCCACGGAGCCCCGGAGCCATTTGCTTTTGGCCCTGCAGCATCCTGGGAATTGTTTATTTTAGCTCTGTCTGCTCCTTTTTGCCTCTCAGTCTCATTTTGCCGTCTCTTTCCCCCCAGTCTCTCCTGTTCTTTCATTTTTTTTTTCTGGCCCAGTGGTGTCTACTTTCAATTAGAGTAGGATGCACTTGTATTCTTCTGTGAGACAAAAAGCCCTGACAGGTGACTCTTGAGGGGTAACTAAAAACCTTACCTTTAGTCTCCTCACACAAACTGTTGGTGAAGCAGCACCTTTCAGGAGACACAAAGGTTAAAAAAAACACAAATGAAGCTGCCGGTGGTATCTGTTACTCAACTGTATATGTTGCTGTGTGTAATGATCATAAGGGTGGAGGGTGTGTTTAAGAAAAAAAGTTAGAAAATCAAGATTTGCTGTGCGGGAGTGAGAGAAAGAGAGAGAGAGGAAAGAGATTTAAGGACAGAGGAGATAAAATGTGTGATATGAGATAATAGAATGATATTCAAAATGTATCCCTGGAGCTACAAGTTAAAAGAGAACATTAAAAGAGAACATATTTTGATCGCTTATGGATATGTAAGCCAGTGCATAGAAATGCCCAAACTTTACTTTATACGGCTGCAGAAACCCCTGAAGGGCAAAAGTGGAGGCGGTCCAATCCGCTACACTCAAACAGTGTATGTGTGGAACTGTCGACATGTGACAAGCAGAAAAGGGACAGTGTTGAGAGCGTAGCCTTTTATGACCCAACACACTTTGACAGCTTGGCCATCGCTTCAGGACATGAGCAATGTTGCTTTTTCATCTGACAATTTTAAGCAAAACAACTCTCCCTCGATGGATTCGATTGTTCAGAGAGCTCTTTGTTGCTGTGCGTTAAAACGCAGAGACAAAAACATGTCAGCGGCCCCGTAGATTCTGCTCGCCGTTTGCTAGAGGAGGCATGCTGTCAATCTGTAGGACAAAAAGTGAGATAAAAGTGTAAAGGATATGATGGCTGACGCTGCTTTTATGCAACACTGCGCTCTGCTGGTGGAAGGAGGGAACACCTTGAGTAATCCAGCAGCATGAGAGACAGTCTTAACAGAAGACTAATGCAACCTTACGTCCCCGGAGATGCAAATGTCTGTGTGCTTTTACCCTTGAAGCAGTTGCCTTATTTGGACCTGAGGACATTCTGCACTGACAAATTTTAAACATCCCAGGAGGGCCGAGCTTTGAAATATGGCCACAGGGTGGCACATTAGAATGACAAAAATGTAGATCCTCAAAGTAAAATCTGCATGTGACTTGGTAATCAGCGGCAGAGAGAGGGAATGGATATAGTTAGAAGAAGGTCAGACTATCTGTGTTAAATTTAACCAAATAGAAAAGCAGATGAGAGCACGTGTTTTGTTTCTGTTTTTGTTCTATATTTGATACGACATGAGAGTACACTTTGTTTATGTGCATGATGGATCATGAGTGAAAGAGATGTGGGCACTGTTTTAGAAAAAAAAAATCAGTTGTGTTCACAGTAATACTGTCTGCTGTGTATGTGCAATAGGCCTGTGAGCTCTGTGTTTGTGTGTGTGTGTGTGTGTGTGTGTGTGTGTGTGTGTGTGTGTGTGTGTGTGTGTGTGTGTTTGTGTGTGTGTGTGTGTGTGTGTGTGCATACAAACAATGCACTCAGTGGACAGCCCGCAGCAGTGTGCATTCTTGCTTGGAGAGTACATTTCCCGGGGCTTCGTTCCTCCGTCGATGACCTCTGGTGAAGCCATTATTTTCTGCATTAATGATGAGCAGCAGCCAGCGATGAGAGAGATGGACTTTGTCCTGAGGCGCAGTAGCGCTGATTATGGGCAACAACAATGCCAGCAAAAAGAAGAAAAAAAAGGAAAAGAAAAAGAAAACTCTTCCCACAAGCAGTTCAAAAGACGAGGAGTCTTGGAGGCAGCACTGAATAAGCTGCTCTGGCTCTATTGACAAGATGGATCAGATAACCTTTGTAGCTGGGGGATTAGCCAGAATAAACTTTATTAAAGTTTACCTATAGCTTATCCTGTCATCCAGTGGATCTACAACCGGAGCATCAACAAAACCAGTGGCTGGAACCGCATATGAAATCTGAGGTTAAGTGCAGCCCTGTGTGACAATTAGCGTACAGTAGGAGCTCTCTTATAGTTTCTATCACCCTCCGAAGATTTAATGACATTATGTAGAAGTAGTAATATCAGACCCTTAATTGATCTTCTGACACCAGCCAAAACAGCAACCTATAAGACTCACAAACACGACAAATTGCAGACAAAGTGCAATTGCTCTAGTCAAGGCAGCCAGGGCACCCACTCAGGAAATCCTGGCTTGGGGAGATGACTCTAAATGAAGGACTTTACCATTCACCATTATGTCTTTGGTGAGAGTCAGAGGGAACCCCCGGGGCTCTTCAGCACAGCACGGCACAACTTTTCAAAGGGCTCCAGATTAAAGTCACTGAAAGTTCCCACTGGGGTCTGAGGCCAGGATCCCATTAAGCAGCCCTACCACACCGCCGGCCATAATTGTGTCGTTGAGAATTCAGAGCAGCGCTTGCTTGATAAGCGAATTTAGGGTGAAATAAAAAGGAGAGGCAAAAAAAGGGGGTCTCGCTGGGCCACCATTAGACACATCATTCGCTCATCGCTAATTTGTTTTAAATGACTGAGGGAGAGGTGAGCACTTTATAAAGCAATCAGATACCTTTTTTTTTTTTTCATTTTCAGGTCTGCGACAGAATGCTGATAAATGAAAACCACTCCACTTTATAGCCACACACACTAGAGTGCCGCTAGTGGTGTTTCAAACTGTAGTTATCTTTATGGCAGCACTTGCTTTGCAGTAGGATAATCAATAAAGAGAGAGACAAAAAAAAAGGTAGGGATGCATTCCTTTCTCTTTTTTCAAGTCTCTCCACTCGTCTTTGGGAAAGCATTAATTTTACCACTGTGTGAAAACAATAATGTTCTTTTCACTTGAATATTGATTGGTAGTAAAAGGTGTTTGCTTGGTCCCCAGTTTGAAAGCAATCATATGAATGAAATGATAAGTATTTTACAAACATGTCACCTTTTATTGAGTATTTACTTTCAATATGTTTTTGAACATTGCAAAGTGATTTTTCACCATCAGAGCTGTTTGGTGTTATATAAAAAACATCTTGTATGTGTGGTCAAAGATCTAAACCATAACTTGAGACTATGCGTGTGCTTTTCTACCATCAGTGAAATCAATTGCTGGAAGTATTGGATCTAAACAATCTGAGCAGAATCCTTTGACAGCATCAATAGATCTCAAGTTATGATTTAGCTCTCAACAATGACGTAAGAGAATTCAACTCTTGAAAACATACATTTCCAACCCAAATATGCTATTGTAATCCAAGTGCAATAAAGAAAAACCCTTAGTTAACTGCTTTAAGTTGATTTTTTCTGTTTCTTCTTCTCTGCCTCTTCTTCTTTTTCCTTCTCAATCTCAGCCACCAGGGTCTCGATTTCCTTGGATTCCAAAATCTGCAAAAGTAAATAAAGCAATTATGAGAGTTCAATGAAAAAAAATTACACAAAACACAAAGGTCAAATATAACTCGTAACAAATTACCTTGAGTGGCTGGTTTCTTCTGATAACAGCAAGTTCAATATTTTTGCCTCCTGACTGGACAACCTGCGACAAAACAAATTAAGACAAGGTTTCAGAGGTAATTAGAGGAATAAACAGAGGAAGGAGTCCTTGAAAAATGTGAGCTTTTCAGAAATTTTAGATTTTTAGAGCTAAAAAAACAAGTCAGAAGCTTAACACGCCTTTATAAAAGAAACTGCTGAGCATAACAAAACACAAATGTTTGCCTCTTGAGACAGATAACAGTTCATGAAGAATGATCCCGTCTGATTTCTGCACATCATACTTTGCCGACACATAACGACAACTTTCAGAGACAAAAAACACACAATTATAGCAGATACCGTTATGGTTTACATGTGGCAGTAGTTACTACTCTCCGCTAAAGTCAAGACTATCTCAAGACTGCATTAAATCTAAGCTGTAGTAGATCTACACACATGACAAATACCCTAGCTAGTTTTTTGTATGTTCAATTCGGCCTCTGCAACTGTGCATGTGTAATGACAAAAGTTTACATGTTACTAAATATAAGTCCATGCAAACACTTAATTTGACCTTACCTCAAGCAAAGCTTTGATAGCCAGCTTGATTGCCTCATTGTCCCCTGCGATGGCTTCATCTGTGTAATTCTTCTCCAGGAACTCCCTCACAGTTTTCGCGCTGCGGCCGATTGCGTTTGCCTGATTTTTCAAAGGACAAAAAAAATTTAGTGATCGATTTTAAGACTGACAAGTGCAACAAAAAAAAAGAAAAAAAAAAGAAAGAAAGTCACAATAAAATAGAAACTAACTTACCTTCCAGGCGTGGTAGGTTCCTGATGGGTCTGTCTGATACAGCCTGGGAGTCCCATCATAGTCAAAGCCGACAATTAACGCAGAGATGCCAAATGGCCTGCGCCCGTTGCTTTGAGTGTACCGCTACAAATAAAACCGACTGATGTGACTGATCCTTTTTGCAAATAATTATCAAATATAAACTCACACATATGGTTTAGACAAATAGTTGTAAATTATTTTTGACCATGACTGCTTTGTGATCAGTGTTGAAGCTTTTTGCAGCAAAGCCCATCATCTATATATTTTTTTCTTTACAATTTCCTTATTTCAGATTAGTTGGGAACATCTAGCAAATATAGTACTTATGTAGAGCAACATCAATGAATTGTGAGAGGGTAGAGTACCTGTTTCAGAGTAGCTATGTAGCGTGTGATGTACTCCACTGTGACTGGGTCCTCAACAGTTAGCCTGTGGCTCTGGCACTCAACCCGAGCTCTGTTTATGACGATGCGGGCATCTGCAGTCAAACCTGTGACACAGTCGAAAGAGGTAAACTAGGTATACAGGTTGGAGAACGTAGCATTTTGTGACAACTGACAAGTTAACCATGCCATGTTGCAAAATTATTTATTGATGAATCAAAATCAGCTTTATTGGCCAAGTATGTGTACATACATATACAAGGAATTTGACTCAGGTAAACTTTGCTCTATATTAACAAACACTAAACATGAAATGTTAGAAAGTAGTAATGTTAGAATTTAGAAGAAATTTAGTTTATATATTATGTAACATAGTAGTGCAATGATGAGGAGTGCAGTGGAGTGATGAGTGAAGTACCTGCAAAAGCCATGCAGACATGCTCATCCAGGGCACATATCTTGCGCACAGTCCTTTCCTCCTGCAACTTTGCGACCGATTTCTTCTCAACACCAAGGACAACAATGTCTTTTCCTCTGATTCCAACCTGCAGAGAATCAAATATCAAATACATTAGTTACTGCATATTAGCATCGTGCAGAATCAACCATTTTTTGTGACCACAACTGTAACTGTTGGTATGGCGAGGGGAAACACTGATCAGCTCGCTAAAAGTTGGAAATTGCAATTCCAGAGACAACTTGTTTTAAATACATGTGTGCCTTTTTGCTCAGTGCTTTGGCATGGATAATAGTCCAAAATTTAATGACAAGCAGTTTGGCAGAATTAAATGTACCTGTCAAAAGTTAAGCCAAGACAGTTTGGTCCTCTCATAATGTTAGCAAGGATGTAAAGGAGGGAAAACAGCTGATACAGAAACAAACGGTAGGACAGTACAGTGCAAGGCTGCGGATTTGGAGTAGCTGTTTGGCTGGAGCAATATATATTTAAAGCACAAGAACTATGTATAAACATCACTGTTTTCAACACCAAGGGAAAAAAAACAAAATATCAAATACACTTAGAGGTAAAAGTTTCATAATGTGTTGGATTTCAGAGGATTCTGCACACAAAACTATACAGATCGGTCGTGTTTCATGTGTTCTCACGACAGCTTTGAGTTAAGTTACGAAAACATTTAAGAAGAAGAAGGACCCTGACTCCAACAATTCACACAATAACAATTTAAACTTAATGAAAATGACCACACAGGAGAGAACTTAAACCGGCCAACATGTAGCAGTAAGATCAACACTGAAACTGAAACTAATGAGGGTGACACAGCGACAAAATGCTTACTGGTGACTACATTAAATTTACGTTTCTTACATTATTCGTGGAAGTTATCGACCGTCAATCGAAGAGGGTAGCAATATCACACTTTTTAAATGTAACAGAATGAGTTACAGAGAAACTGGAAGAATAACATGAGCTATAAAGTGTCCACTGCATGCTAGCTGAGTGGCTAACTGAAGTTAGCTTCAGCATTAGTTTCTTTCTGGGACTCACCGCTGTTGAACCTTTCTTTACGGCCTCCTGTGCATACTCCACTTGGAACAAATGGCCATCGGGAGAAAACACGGTGATGGCCCTGTCGTATCGTGCCGCCATTGCACTTTAAACACGTACAATCAGGAGAAAAAGAGAAGACTTTTGTGAAATGATTCAGCTAGTTAGCAGCGAGACGCTCTGGATGTAAAGCTAACGAGTGTTGAATAGAGCGCAGGCGCGTCACCTCTGACCCTGGCGATACCAAATCAAGGGTTAATGAGAACTAAGTTGATACAAAAACGAGTAAAATATTAGTTGAGTTGTATGCAAAAAAAATAAAACTTTATTTTTTAAGGTGATAATAGTAAAAAAAAAAAAAATAGTACTACCCGAGTTCCTCACTCCATTGCAAACAGTCGTTTAATTACTCACTAGCTACCATTCATGGTGGCTTGGCAATGTAAAAACATGTATGTATCAGTGTATTTAAGCGTGAAAACGTGCAACTTGGTCAAATATCTTTTGTTACAGACTAATAATGCTTCAAACAGCATTTTAAATCGTTATTAATAATTAATGAAAATGAGTGAAAGGTTTTGGGATGCCCCCCTTTTTTCGAGCGTTCCATTTTCAGTGGCTTTGGACTAAATCTGGACTGTTCCATTACATGCATAAGGTGGTTAATGTAACAAGAGGAAGCTAAAATGGTGGTATATTGAACAATTTATTCACGTTTGTCGACACTTTGATAACATTTATCAAATTTATGTGTAAAATTAAATCTTTTTGTACCATAAAAATAAATTTTAGTTCCCAATAGTGTTTTCTAACGTTCTGCATCCACCCCCGAAACGGACCATTTCACTACGACATTGCATCCTATTCTGTACTGTTTGATCTGAGTTCTACCGATTTGTTAAGTGTGTTAGCTACTTTCTGATTTTTATGCTCTTGCTCACTTAAATTCCCTGAGAGTATCACCATGTCTGTGGCGTTTGCACCTCACAGGCAGCGTGGGAAGGGTGATATAACACCCGCCGGAATACAAAAGGTAATTCATCTTTTTTAGCGCGTCTCAGAATGGAGGCTGTGGCATCAGACTCGCTGCTAGCTGCCAAGCTAATCAATGTAGCGATGCCCATCCGAGACCGAGTGTGAATAGATCAGGAGAAATGTGCAGGGGTCAAAGCGCGGCGAATATGAACCTGTCTAGCGTCGGGAGGCCATGTGTAGACGACGAGACTGAGGCCGTTTTACAGGACTAACGTGTAATAGTATTTCATATGAATGGAGGCCTGCCGTTTTGTTAGCGCAGCACAGCTAGCGTCTTTTGTTAGCTTGAAATGCACACGCACATATCAACAAAAAAACGACCCCGCCATCGTTTTTCATTTCATTTAACGCTTTGAAAACAACCAGTAAGCAAAACAACACCCATGTTAAATCACGTAATATCATATATTGCGGTTTTTTATGTTCCGCACATAACATGGTACGGGATATAAATCTATACCTTTACTTCTGCAGCTACTAGATGAAAACAACCAGCTCATCCAGTGTATAATGGACTTCCAGAGTAAAGGCAAGACAGCAGAGTGTTCACAGTAAGTCATACAAATACACCCTTATAATAGCCTGTTACGCTAATTTACATTAAAGCCTGTATTGATGATTTTCCACCTGTCTAGTTATCAACAGATGCTGCACAGAAATTTAGTGTACCTGGCTACGATAGCAGACTCCAATCAAAACATGCAGTCTCTCCTCCCTGCTGTGAGTATTGATCTGTGCTGAATTGTTCTGAATGAACTGTATGTGATAGCAGTGTCTATTCACCCTTACAACGTTGTGTTCAGCTGTTGTTTTGCATTTAAAGTTATAGCAAAGAACAGATATAAGATAGATTTCCAAGACTGAGTGTAAATAGATCATTTGAGACTGATATTATGTACTGGAAAGTGTCCAAATAAAGCACATCAGAGGGTTTTTTTGGCTCTCAACTCAACTCAACTATATTTATATAGCACTTTACACACAACAGAGTTGATCCAAAGTGCTTCACAACAACACAGAGGAAAAACAAAACAAAAGAAGAGAACAAACAGACGACGAAGAAGAAGAGCAGACTGAGTGACAGTAATAATAATGATAGCAATAAAAATATTGTTATCAATACCATCACTATCATCATCATCATTCATAAAAGTAATAATAAATATCAATAATAACAACAATAGCAGCAGCAATAATAATAATAATAATGATAATGACGCCATCATATCTGCCATTGTCTGAATGTATATTTATCTATATTACTGTATCAATACTCTCTAAAATTTTGCATTAATTAAGAACCTTTCATTAGAACCTCAGTTTTGGTATTAATTGCAGTAATGTTGAATTTAAAAAAACTCAGTTTTATTTGAGTTGAACAATGAAAGTGACCATTTGATATGTTCCAATCTTAGATTTAAATTTTTAAATCAAAATCAGTCAAACTTCAATTGATGGCAAAATAATAGCAATTAGTTTGGATATCACAAGGTATATCTTTCAGCACATAGACTCTCTTTATTATTATATTTAGTTTTGTGGAATGTTCCAAAGTTCAAAAAAGTAACCCTCCTGATTTACTCTTGTTTTTACTCACCTATTTTGAGGTTCATTTTTTTAAATAATACCACAAAATTTGAAGTTAATGCTATAGCTTGAAACAGTTTTCTTTATGGTGACTTTCTCTTCCATTCATCATGACCAAAGACTTTAACAATATTAAAAAACAGTTCATGCTTTTAAAAGACTGTGTATAATGCTGCATTCCTATTAATCTCCCCCCTTTGTATGCATGTTTTGTCAAAAATGTCCCTGTGTTGTTTTTGTTCTTGATATTCTACCTCAGAGATCTTGACTAAGACATTATTTATTTTGCATGGCTGAGGCGTTTTTGAGATGTTTTTGTAGATAAATGATGTGGGTTTGTTGTGTCTGTATTTTGCGTCTGCAGCCTCCCACTCAAAACATGCCCATGGGCCCTGGTGGGATGAACCAAAGTGGACCACCTCCTCAGCCTCCTCACAGTCACAACATGCCCTCTGAGGGTATGGTCAGCGGTGGCCCTCCAGCTCCACACATGCAAAACCAGATGAATGGACAGATGCCTGGTGAGTGACCCCCTTCCCTCCTCCTCCTCCTCCTCCTCCTCCCCTCCCCTCCCCTCGTCTTTCTCTCTTTTCTTTACCCTTCTTTTTCTTTCAGTCTGTGTCTCACTTGGGTTGCCTAGCAACACCATAGAACTGTGAGGGAGGTCTTCCCGCTAAAAGATGATGTCACCCATTCGCCAGCTCTGGTGGTCTCAGTCTCGCACTTGTTTGATTATGATTATCCTCTTCCCTTCAGGCGTTATGTCTTTTTCAGCTTGTGCTTTGTTTGATTTTGATTTATAACTTTAATTTCTTTATGTTTTAGAAAAAAAGAGCAACCTAAGACATAATGTTAAGGAGCTCACAGTAATACAGAGAAATGCAGAGGTGTTGACTCTGCAAAGTGAAAGAGGACCTTAATAGAAACCAGGATTATGGTGTTGTGTACCTTCACTTACTCGAGATCATGCTTGATATTTTTGAGAAGAGGATTTTATATAAAAACCTGACGATAAGAAATGTACATGACAGAATATACCCACAGAATATACTGACAGAATTCTGTTAGCACCTACTAGCTGTGTCTAAGGTGGCCAGGAAGTGTGAGGCGATTTGCAAAAGAAAAAAACATGAATACAAACAGCCACAACACAAACACAAATAACGACAACAGAAGTACACTTACAACAGAAACAGAGAAGGGCTGAATTTTCCCTCCTGGGGATAAGTATTCTGATTCTGATAACAGATCGTCAGAAACACTGGTGGTAGTTGGCCCATTCCTGTTCCCGTTGTAAGTGCACTTCCGTTGTTGTTATTTACGTTCGTATTGTGGCTGTTTGCATTTGTGTTTCTTTCTTTGGCAAAGTGTTTTGAATATGCAAATTGCCCGACACTTCCTTGTCACCATACTATTCTGATTTGAAAGAATCAACACATTAAGTCTCTTAGGTAGTGCGTTAGTTAGGGAGCTGACACTTTCTTTAATATTGTGGCTAGTTTGGAGCACTTTTGTAGCTACTGTACAATGGGAAAGTGACAGTAGATGGGGTTTTGCGTCTGTAGCAAACCCCTAAAGCCCCCAGGGCTCAGAGGGGATAGATCTATTTCTGTTGGGGCCCCAAAATTATGGAACGTGCTGCCCCTCCAAATCAGACAAGCCCCCACACTGTCCATTTTTAAAACTTGTCTTAAAACCCATTTTTATTCATGGCTTTCAACCCTGCATGAGACTCGGCTCCTGTTTTAGTGTTTTGTTGTTTGTTTTAAGTTATTTGTTTCTATGTTTTTTAAATTAGTTTTTAAAAACATTGAAACTATATTTTACTTTTTAATATTTGCTTTTATTTTATCCATTGTTTTAGTTGTTTTTTGATTGTTTTTCTTTTGTCTGCATTGCTTTGTCTATTTATGTACAGCACTTTGGTCAGCTTTGGTTGTTTTAAAGTGCTTTACAAATAAAGTTGAGTTGAGTTGAGGGCTATAATATTGAGCTATCAATGGGACTCTCATGAAGACTGTAATACTGGGTGTTTTAAGACATGCACAAAATGTTGACCTAGCAGCTTGGTGATAAAAGACGACACCATGAATCCATACTCAATAGCAGTCTTAATAGTAAAGAATTATCATTTCATTGCATAGAGAAATAGCCTTGAATAAGACTTGTTCAAAAGTCTCTATATTAGTATATATTCATTTGCATTCACTATTATCAGATTTTGGTAATGAAATTCTTCAGAGAGGGTCAAGGATCACCTCTTCTGCTTGTTTCCAGGTCCCAATCACATGCCCATGCAAGGTCCCGGTCCTGGCCCCAACCAGCCTCCCAACATGCCCAGTAGCTCCATGAACATGCCTCCCAGCAGCCATGGCTCCATGGGTGCATACAATCACACTGTCCCTTCTTCCCAAGGCATTCCAGCTCAGAGCCAAATGAACATGACCCAGGGCCAGCCCATGGGAAACTATGGGCCTCGGCCAAACATGAACATGCAGCCCAACCAAGGTAAAACAGCTCATTTGCTCATTCTCATTGACTGTACACACATCATGCTTCTGTATAATTTCAGCCCTCCACGGTTTGAGGCATAATTCTCCCCTCTATGTATCACAGGCCCAATGATGCACCAGCAGCCTCCCTCCCAGCAGTATAACATGCCTCCAGGTGGTGGCGGACAGCACTACCAAGGACAACAGAACCCAATGGGCATGATGGGTCAGGTTAATCAAGGGAACCATGTAATGGGGCAGAGACCAATGCCGCCCTACAGACCCCCACAGCAAGGTATAACCCTCAGAGTGTGTCTGTTAAGTGTGCAAGTCGTGAGTGTCGGTCTTTCTTCTCCTTCCTAACCCACCTTTCTGCATTTCTTACTCTTGTTCTTCTCAATTTTCCTCTATCTCCACCTCTTGTAGCTCTGTCACCCAAAGCCTCCAACCTTAAAATTAGTCAAGAAAAGCTTTCTAACAAAAAGTAGCTGCAAGGTGTCCATCTTCTCTACTCTTCCCCTCACACAACCGATCCAACAACACCTTGAATCTACTTGTGTGTATGTTGTGTGTATGTGTATGTAGGACCCCCTCAGCAGTACCCAGGGCAGGAAGACTACTATGGGGACCAGTACAGTCACGCAGGACAGGGAGCCTCAGAAGGTAGGAGTACCCTCCAGTTACTTGGAGCAAATAAAAAAAAACATCAACCCCAGGACTTGTGTTAAAACACAAATAATGCAAAGAGACTGTGCAAAACCAGTATTTCAGTTTCTTTAGTATTTTCTGGGAAATCAGAGTGACTTAGGGCTTCATGAAGGGGAGCATATAGAACAAAAATCCTCATTCGAAGCATGCACTCTGTATTTGTACGTGCCGCAGATAAGTTAGCATTCACCCAGTCTTACAGCAGCTTCAGTTGAAGCTGACGCTCCACCTGTTGGTGTGACATAAATATGAAGTATAAATATGAATACCTAAATTCTATAGAAATAAATTTTCATCTCTTAGATTTTCGAGAAAGCTTTTTTGCCTTATGCTGCACTCCATATGTGGAAATCGACACCGCCGTGACGCCACCTGCCACATGTTCGAACACACATTTCATAAACAGACAGTAAATAATCTTTGTTAGTTGCAGAAGAGAAAAACAATCGTTTCTATAAATCACCAGTTATTTTAAAGAAAGATTCCACTCGTGGGTTTTCCTCTAAACATAACACTTAATACACCTCTGATTTTCTCTATGTGTTTGTGTTTCGAGGTGCTATTATGACTTTTACTGGCAAACTGATATTAAAGATTCTTAATAAACTACTCTCCCTCTTTCTTTGTCCAATTAACATTTACTCATTCGTTTGTTTTTCGTTTTGTTTTCCACTGACAACACTATTTTCCCTATTGACCTTGAAAACATGCATTTTCCTTTTTAAGACTGCTTATAACAAAGCTAGCTCAAAACAGCTGATTTCCAAACCTTTTGTTGTTTATTCCCAAACTTCTTATTTTCCTCTTATACTATTATCTTAACTCATTTACCTGGGAAAAAAAGGGGTTTAATTCAGTTAGCTCAGTGCCAAGATGATTTAGGTGTTGATTCCCCCTCAACTATACAACCCTAGAAAGGATCTTTACCTCTGCTCTGATACATGTGGTCATTTCAATGTACTGCATTTTTCCCTGTCATATTAGCAAGCATTTTATCTTGCTATTTGCCATTTGACAGAAAGAGTTTTGCCTCTTTTATTAAATATTCCCAAGCTAAGTGTCTTATCCATCTTAGACTTCATTCATGACTTGAAACATGATCCTTTCTTTACTTGATCTTGAATCATTCAAACTCTCAGATGGTCTCATAGCTGCAGTTTTGGTTGGATTTCCGAAAGCAACATCTAAAATGGATAAAATACTGGTTTCTGATGTTAACACCTGAAATGTTGACCTTTCTGCTTTGCTGCTGATCCACCTGTTGCTCACATTGTGTGTCGTTGCCTCCTGAAGGTAATGCCCAGTATGGTCAACAGCAGGAAGCATACCAGCAAGGCCCTCCCCAGCAGCAGGGCTACCCTCCTCAGCAGCAGTACCCGGGTCAGCAGGGCTACCCACCACAGCAGCAGGGCTATGGTGAGTTACCTTCCCTCACGTTGGGGCACATATTTGTCCAGCAGGAGGCACTATCAGCTCTCTTAAGCTGCCTTTTTTTACCTGCTGAATAAAAACTCCCCGAGTGAGTTTTTTTTGTGATTGCCCCTTGGAAATATATTCAAGCTAAATCCATGTCAAGACATCGTCAGGAGTGAGGAATTAAAGGATTGCCTTAATGAACAGTTAGGGGATTGGAGCTTGGCGGAAGAAAAATTTAATCAGTAGAAGAGGCTGCTCCAATATTCGCATTTCTCCTGGTTCTGCAGTTTGACATGTCGAACTAGGGAAACAGGAGAGATGCTTTGCCTGATGGTTACCTGAACTAGGCTGTGTGTGTCAGCACTCACAATAATTTACCAGTTCTTAAAATCTCATGACAACAAAAAGCACTAGACGCCAAGAACGAGGTTATTTTCTTTTTTTATGATGTTGTGTTTTTGATATTTCTGTTTGGGTAAAATAATCAGATTTTTTAGCCATGTCACTTTTCCATCGGGGTGAACCTGTCTCAGTACACTCACCACTGAGACAAGGGATTTTGCAGTATTGTCAAACACACATTATGTGTTTTTGTACATGCTCAAATACAGATTTCTCGATAAAGTGAGGGTAATTTTTGATCAGCAACAATGTTGGTTGAATCATGGTCTTAGGCTTGGACACAGGCTCACTAACAAAAGCACAGCACCTCCTCCTCATGTCAAAGTGGGTGTCAGTGTTTATGGTGAGTGAAAGGCATCTGCAGAGTAGCAATCATGTAAACTCGTGATTTTTTTCTCACCCAGTTAAAAGCCGAAAAAGCAACAGTGCAATGGAGATTTTTTTTTATTTACATTACAACAAGCCTACCTGCTCGAAAATGTGTGTTCAGCTGACGACTCCAAGATGATTAAAAGAAGCAGGGCTCTTTGACTCATGCTCAAAGTAGCGGCTGTAATTACAGTCCCCAGTTGTTATGGTTACCTTTATTCAGACACACAGCCATGTCAGGAAACGGCAGTAGGAACTTCACACTCCTCGAACAGTTAAGCAGATGTTTAAAATTGCGAACAGAAAAGCAGGATAAAAAAAAGAAAAACGAAATTCCGATCACACCGACTCAGTCAGAATCTGCACCTCACTCGGAAATAAAGCCCAACACAGCGACTTAAACACGTCTGTCTATGGTCTCAGACATAACCCCTACGTTTAAGCATTTTTTACGTTGAATTGTCTAATCATAAAGACCCCAGACCTGAATAAAACTGTCTTACAGTGACCTGAAATGGGGACACTATTTCAATGTCAAACATTTTAAGACACACAGCAGCAGAGATACTAAAAATTAAGAAGCACAAATTAGAAACAGTGAAAGGATACCTTACTGTGAGCACGTCGTTCACTCATACCTTCTCAGCATTCCCACTTTCTAACTTATGGTAATGTAAAACGAGCATGCAGCTATAGGACTTAACACAAAGTAATTCAATAAAGAGTGAAGCATGTTTTACAAAGTTCCACATATACGAAGGTACCGAGGCTCTCGCAACCCTTTGGTCTCTTTCTTCCTCGTCCCATTTTTCAGTGGAACTTTCCATCACTCAGCCTCTGTTGGAGCCAGAGCTCATGTCAGTAATGAGCTAACAGAGAGGCAGAGGCTGTGAGGTGAGATCCATCTGGCACACAAGCACACACACTTCCTCTCGCAGGCCCCCACAAGGTTATGCTCAACAGTATCAGGCATTATGAGCGCCTAACGATGCTGCGTGGGCCTCATTTGACTCCGGCCCCAGTCAGGCTTTGCTCCGGCGTTCGCTGCACCTGCATAGACAGCTACAGTGTACGGGGGCTGATGAAGAGATTTTTTTTTTTTTTTTTTTTTTAATGAAGCTTGCCCCTCCTAATGAAGACCAACAGAATCTCCTTGATGTCTCCTTGCATTAGGGAACCTCAGCCCAGTTTCAACCTGACTCACTCATTGTCATTCATTACTGAGTCAGGCGTTGAGGAGGCCGCCTAAACAAACGGGTCAGACATATCCACCGCCGTCTCTTTGTCATCCATCAGCTTTTTTTTTACCCTAGCCCATTAGTGGTAGTAAACTTACAGGGTTGCCCAAGAGTTCTCAGACTAACAAGTTGGAAACCGAGACAGTAAATGAGCAAAAGTTTGCCTGTTCACACCAGGGGTCCTTATTTGAGTCCGAACCTGAGTTTGATATGTGCCACATTTCTTTCTAAGCAGGTGATGAGAACAAAAACTTTACTGTGTTAAAAGACAAAAAAAGCCCACTCTTTTGTGTCATAAAGTTTGACTAGACTAAAAACTAACTTCAAATATTTTCAGTCAGGTACTTTGTAGAGGCATAAATGTGCTCTTCAAATCCTCTGGAAACATGTATACAAGTTAGATTTGGGTACTTCTTGTCAGCATTGCAACATTAGCAAAGACAATGCCCAGCGTTCTGACTGAATCATTCACTGTCAACTAGAGTTGCCATGGTAAAAAATCAAATAATGTCATTAAATGTTTGAACACAGAAAGCTCTGATGGCCTATCAGTGTAAGCGCCCCATGTATAGAGGAAATGATCCTTGACACGACTGTCACTGGTGCGGTTTCTAGCCATGACCCCACTCTCTACTCTCCACATGTCCTGTCTCTCATCACTTGTCCTATTATTAACGAAGGCAAAAGTGTCCCAAAAATATAACTCAGAAATCATTTCTGAACCAAAAAGTTTATCTCCTTGGACCCAAAATGGTTTATTTTGTTTTTCTTTAATTATTTTTTATATCCAATCTGTGCACGCGTTGTTGGTACAGAAAAAGTCACTGAACACAGACAAACATTTTCAACTCTTTGATAGTGATGAAAAGCAAAGCAAACGATCATTAAAAAAAAAAATGTATTACCGAAATGCAATATTTCCTCTGAATTATCACCCAGAGGAGGAGTGTTTTCTTCCTGATGTGTTAATTTATAGATTTCTATCACTGTGTGTTGCTGTAAAGCTCCTTCTGCAGGTTAGAAAACATTAAAAGGTCAACTTTTTGATTTGAAGTAAATATAATTGATATTGTATTGCTTAAAGCATGTGCTATTTCAAAGTATTAAAAATGCTTGATTCATTGTATTTGTAGCTGATTAAAGCATCAGTGTGAAGTTTTTGACTGGCTATAGAACCGATTAAAATTAAAACGGATGCCTCCATGTGACCTACACAATCAAATGAGACAATCAGTGAGAAGACTTGCATCTATTAAGTCCATATATCAGCGAGGAGATTGAAGGTACTGCTCTGGCCAGAGTGGGCGCCAAATCAACAGAAAAAACCTACACACTGGAGGTCTAAAGAGTTTGTGTTGACTGTTCCCAACAACACTTTCAAATTGTTTCAACTTTGTCCACCATGCAGACATAATTCTAAATCAAGTTACTGAATTTTTTGTTGTTGTTGTTGTTGTAGGTCCTTCCCAAACTGGCCCGGGACAGTACCCTAACTACCCTCAGGGACAGGGGCAGCAGTATGGGGGTTATCGCCCTCCTCAACCCGGACCCCCACAAGGCCAGCAGCAGCGCCCTTATGGCTACGACCAGGTGAGTATAACCACAACACAGCAAAGTCACAGAGACTTGTGAATGAACTTCCCGTAGCTTTAGTGTTGTTGTTGATATCATAGATGAGTTAGCTTGTGTATTTTGTGTGTTAGAGACCAATGTAAGTGTAGTTTGGAGTCACACATTTTAAGGTAGATTAGTGTGCATGCTGTCATCATACTGGGGTTAAATCCCTCCAAGTGGGTGTGGGTGTGGATGTGTGTGTGTGTTGTTATTGTCTTTCATTGTTGATTTGAATCGTACTTAAATATATATCCTGGCTGATGTGGAATGCCAATCCAGTGAAATATGAGGGCTTTAAAAGGGTTTTTCCTTTCAACATGATCCAGACTGCTCTCGTGTTTAAAGGGAGATCTATTTGTTGCCCTGTATTTCCTGTGGTCTTATGTGGGGACCACAGCTACACTTTGATATCTTTATCTTTGAATATTCAGGGGCACATGAGGAAATAAAGACCCGGGGATTTGAACCCCCTGACTAGCTCTGTAAGAAGCAAAGGTAATGGTTGCTGTGAAGACCTCAACGTCCAATCTAGACGTTTGACCACCTAGCCTTAATTTGCATTTGTTGTTTCTTCTGTCTGTTCTTTTTCTTTATCCTCCTTCCATCTTTCTCTTTTTTCTTGATTTAATTTTCTTTATTTTTTGTTATGTTGTTATTTTTATTATCCAGGGGTCGAATTTTCAATCACGAGGTCTAAAAAACACAGCATGCTTAGTCTGCAGTGAGACCGCCAAAAGTTTAGCACTTTGGCTGCGTCCTTAATCTGTTTGATGTAACTTCTGTCCAATTTGAAATTTAATGTTATGGATATCAGACTCACATTATAATTTTCCTTCCAAATCTGTTTCCATTGTATTTTTCATGAATGCCAAACACATACTTCGACCCCTGTGTAGAAATGCATTAACAGCTATTGTTATATTGAAATTCACCTGAATCTAGTCTCCACCATTTGATCAGGAATCCAGCCTCAGCCCTGCTGCGGCTGAGGCACCTAGTTTAAGAGTTCACAAGTTATGAGGCCATGCTGCCACCTGCTGGTCAACACCAGCAAATGCAGACATAAATCATGGTTTGGAGTCTTATATGGTTTAAACCACAAATATGTTTTGCACCACTTTGAGATATGTGAATTTAAACTCTTAGACTTTGTTTTCGAGAAGGTCAGTAACATAAGTCCATCACATTTCTCTCCACAGGGCCAGTATGGAAATTACCAGCAATGAGAGATGGTCACAGCAACCCACACAGCTCTGCTCTGATCTCTGTTGAGCTTTGACATCTGGTCAACTGCTAAGCAGACTTAAATGATGGTCATAGCTCCCTGAATTTCTCTCAGACACGAACGTACAACACCCAAAAATACCAGATACATTCTCCCCTAACCATGGGCTCTAACAAAATGTATTCAGTTTAACATCTAAACGGGACTGGATAATGTCAAAGTTTATGACCTGCCCTCTTGTCCAGTACGTCTCAAAGCAGCAATGCCTTAAAAATGGAACTGCCTTATCCTTTTAGCATTGCAGATTGTGAAATGGGCTAACGAAATTTTGGATATCAGAAGATTTAACTGTACAATTTCAATCTACTGCGGTGCATTGTTTCTCCACCCTTCAGCTCCTTGGTCATAAGAAGCAATAATGCCAGCAGTAGGTCAATGTGTAGGAGAGAGGACATGAAATAATGCACCAGACGAACTTCCCACTAGGCCATGGTACATGTCTTGATGTATGTGATGATGTAAAAATATATTTTATGCTTTTTAGATCAAGCTAACTTTGTATAAGACATTGGAAACTAGTACTAAAGCTGTGTTGTTTATTTCATGAAGTGTATGTGTTTTTTTTGTTCTGTTTGTTTTTTATTTTTCAATGATCCCATCCAGCAGGGTTTTTTAATGTCTTTGTTTTTCCAATTGGATCAGACATTTTAAAGACTTGAACACTCTGTAAAACTCTTTTCTTTTTGGTAAAATTTGGAATAATAATCAACATGAAGAAAACTTCCTTAAAAGTAAAACCGTATACTTAGACTGTGAAAGTGTTCAAAGTTTTGAAAAAACATGCTGAAGAAATTGATCTGCGTTCAGATCTGTTATTAAAACTGTGGGAAAAGGCTCCAAACTTGGTTTAGTGATACTTTTTCTTCCCACAATTCCTAAAAAATTGGTGCCCATCGGCCTCGGCATACATGTGAACAGAGAGGATGCATAGCCACCATAGATTGTCAGGTCCTACACTTTGAAGCCTTTCTTTCTGTACAAGCACCTAAATCTTGTCCATTGACTGCAAATTTGTGAATGGGAAAGATCAAAGTTGGTATAAAACACATTTCTGAAAAAGGACTTTTCTTTTTCCGTCTTCTTGACTATGCTGGAATCCCCTTCTCCCTTCCTCTTTGAATAAACGTCTAAGTTGATGTCATTCAAATAGTGTTGTTGTGTGAATAATGAAGATTGTTACTGTCAAATATGTAACATAAGATGTGAAAATAATGTTCTGAAATGGATTCCTTAATTTCACAGTAAAGACTGGTTGTGCAGTTTTATATCACTGGCTTGATATCTGTTTTATGGTGCATACTTTATTGATCCCACATGTACAGCTGCATAAAGAAGAGGAATTCATCGTCCTCTCGTATTGTTTATATGGCTGTTTTAATATTTTGCATTCTGCACCCCATTCAAGTGTTCACATTTGTGTCATGGCAATGTATAACTGTACAATAAATTGGAAGAATCTTTAATATATTTTGACTTGTGTAATTTATCGCCTCACATTCATGCCTTTAAATTTCTAAAGAGTGTGCGAACTCCTTCCTCCTGACAACAGCATAAACAAGACGTGCACGTTTGGTGCTGTCATAATATGACAGTTTGATGTAATTGTTTTGTCTTCATCTGCTATCTGGTAATCAGTTTCCTACTGATAATGACCCAGCACTGCTCAGCAGCATGTCTGCTTTGTCCAGATGCATCAAGAGAGGTCCAGAGCACATTTACACCCAAAATTACCTTCTCTGTCCCTCTCTCCCCCTTCTGCCTCCCTCCAGAGAGGGAGAGGGACTACCTGTCACATTGGGGGGAGTGATACAGATGGTACACCAGATGTGTGGCCGAAGCACGTGATGGGAGACTGGTGTTAGTGTTAAGAGGGCCACAGAGTGCTCAGACTGCCCTGGTGCCTTCTGATGAGTGTTTGCATGTGGAGGTGTGTGTGAGCGAGTGAGCTCCAAGAGACGGAGAACGTTTCAACTTTTTTTTTTAGTTTTAGTCTGTTTTTATGTGTTTGTGTAGTACTGCTCTGGTTTAAGAGGCATCTCCTAGTCACCCCACCATCCTGCTGCTCCACAGCTGGCCGCCCCACCCCTTCCCAGCTGCCACTGGGGCTCCCCCCGGCCCCTCCGCTTGGCAGAGCTGGCGTTTTGGGCGCTCCCCCACCAGTCCTCCCTGGCAGCTGCTGCCCTCAGCTGTGCTCTCGCAGACGGTATTGGGGTCGGACAAAGTCACTCCTCCTGTGACTGTGTCTGGGGCCATTGGGGGAGGATGAAGAGGTGGCAAGGAGACTCCTACATCCTATGAAAGATCTCCTTTAAACGTCCAGGAGTTTAAATTGACGGGCAGGTAAATAACAAGGAAATGCAAACATTTTGGCTGACCCTGAATTTCTGTGACTAACTCAAGTTTAGCTTCCGAAAAACTGAGGTCCTGACTGTGCAGTTGCAAATGAGATATTGCAAAAGCTAGCAGGACAACATTACTCCTTGCATGCCCCATGATTGTACAGCAAATTGTAGAGAGGCAGCGTCATTTAAGAGGATGATTATCTTGTTCAATATTTTGATAATTATAATTCAGGACACCTTTCAGAGGAGGCTCCTAACCACTGAGGGGAAAATGACATTGTGATCATAGCTGGCAGGCAAGATGTGATCTCTCTCTCTCTCCCTCTAACTCTCTCTGACTCTCCCTTTCACTCTCTCATAGCCACACTCTCAGTGTGACAGAAAGTCTATGGGGAGGTATAAGAGGTAGTTATGGGGGGAATGCAGCAGCCTCCACAGTTTAATTGGAGATGTGTCACACTAAATAAATGGTGCAAAAACAAGCGCTGACTGGAGGCTTGAGGGAGGGGCCCTGGGGATGCAGCCTGTTTTATTGGGCAGGAGCTTTGCACCGCTCCAGGGTGAAACTGGGCTATGCACTGCTGAGATACCCTCCAACCACCAAACCACCAGGCCTCCCTCCCAAAGACGACAGTGGAGGAAAAGACAAAGGCATTAATTTCACTCTGCAGAAAACGCATCTTATTGGCGCAATGGTGAAGGTGTGGGTGAACTCGGTGACCCGCCTGCTCGTCCTCCTCCTCCAATGAGGGGCACATCATCGGCCTCATCTGCAATTTCAATTTCTGCACGCTGGCAAACAAATCCATAATTGTAAAAATCTTCAGCGAGTGCTGTCTGCCTCACTTGCTCCTAGATCTTATGTATGTCAATTTATGTTTTGAGGAGACGGCAGCCAACAGCCCGCAGCCAATCCTATTTCCCCGTGTAATCCATACATGACCTCTAAGCTACCAGGAGAATGTGTTTTTCAATACTCTATCAATGTTGATATAACTGTTGTCTTGCATGCTCATGCACTGTGTATGTGCGAGTGTGTGTGCACCTTGGATTCCACAGTTCATGGCATGAGGTTTGATTTACCTCTACAGTGTGCTGCAGTAATTGGATGTGACACCATTCTCTCTGCTCTCCCTGGGGGATATAACAGGAATCTGACTATTATGGCCCCAGTCATGAATATGTCACGACAGCTGCAAACAAAGGCCTGTGATTTGGATAAGACTCCACTGTATGTTGTCTCTGCGCTGATGTATGAGATAAATGCAGCAAGGGTAAATGAGTTTTCTGTAAAGCAATTTGCAGTGTTTACAAGGAATGATTAATTGCTATTGTTTGGGAAAAAACTATGTTAGAGACAATGTTCAATATTACATGTTCATCATTATGCCTGCCAGATACATACTTGCATCACAGGCATTTGTATAAGCTATTACATCTGGTCTGAAAAACAGCGAGAAAGATTTTTTGGATCTGACATACACAAACAGGGTGATCCCCCAGAAAGACATTGTTTTACATGCATCTCATGTGCGGTGCTTTGTTTAAACCCTATCGTTTGTTGAGGGTTTAGCCATCAAATCAAATCGAGTGTGCTGTTTTGTATGCGTTCTAGCCTCATAAAAGTAGTCTCTGGGTGAAATAGCAGGTATGCTGATATCAGTATTCCCACAGCCTGCATAATTGCTGTAATTTGCTTTCCCTTTGGGTAATCTGTAAACATGGCTGTTTTGATGTTTTTGGCATCCTCCATTGGCTGGGCTCTCTACTCCTCCAGTGAAGCCCCCATCCCAGCCCAGGGTGACACAAATAGATCCTTCCCCAGAAGGCGCACGTAGTTCCACATAGGCACAATCAATACGGCCCAGTTGCACTAGGACTGTGGCGGTATTAAAAGCACCCCGTGAGCTGCTTCTCACCATGCCGGCGTTTTAGGGAAATAAAGCTATTGATCCTCCAGGGCCTCTGGCGGAGCATTAACCTGGGCCCACAAATTAGAACGTGCTCATCTGGACACATCTGCCTGCAATGTTCCAAAAAAGCCAGTCCAAGGGAGAGAAAAGGAGGGCTGCGGGGCCTGCTGCTTCCAATGATGAGTAGAGCCCTACTTGACGTCCTTGTTGGAGCGGGGGAGGCGTCTGGATGCCCAGGACTTCCATTAGAGGCCCAGGATGGTGGCATGGGTCGATGTGGTAAGGTTTGGTTGGGGGTACTCCATCTCATATCAGTGTGGTTCCTTCCCCCTGTTGTAGAGAGAGAGGGGGCTGACCCACAGTAAACCTGAGCTCCTGACTGGAAGGACAATGAGGGAGAGGGCTGCTGCGTGCAACACTTGTTCCAGTGGTGTCAAAGACTTTTCTCCTTTTCAACTGTTTTATATAAAAGAAGACTACGAATCACTTTCAGCTCTCTTAAAAACATCCACACCATTCAGGTATTGCATTTTAGCAGATTCTCCAAAGCAGCTTGCAAACTGAAAATACTCTGTGTGCCTCATATGAAAAGCAGCACAATACAACTCTTTCAGTGCAAAAGAAAGCTGCATTTTCAGCTTTTATTACTTTATTTCTCTACAAAACCCAGAATTACAATCCCACATTCATGGCACCAGAAGGATATTTGAGCCATTGATTCAATGTTGTCACTTGGCAGGGTGTCCAACAAGTCAGTAATCATATTTGACCAGGACATCAGAGAGAGGATACAGTGAGATAGAAACACAAATATTCTCATCTGCAAGAATAAACATTGATTTATTAAAGACCGTGTAAAACAATAGTTAAGTATTCTAACCCTGTCTTGCTAAATGCAGTCCATCAGTTTGGACCATGACCCATGACCCCAGTTTTTCTCTCAACAGCAGATGTGATTGGGGTTTGAATAACCCGGTTTCATTTCACATCAGTCTGTAAACATAACTTTAAAAATGCCTTTTTTAGCGGGTTTCCCTTTCTTTGATCACATCTCTCTAACACCTGTTTCAGTTGTGATCCTTGTAAAATTAATTTAGGGTCAAACACACCATAACACCAAGTTAGACAACCCCTTGAGAGATGAATGTTGCTGACTGCTTGCTTCTCTAGTTATACCAACTTAAGTAATGACCGCGGATAGCAATACAGAGAGCCACACACTCAATCAAAAAGGCCACTCTATAGCCACAAATAATGCTCAGAACAGCACCTAACTTCATCAACAGGACATATAGGGTCCCAGCCACCAAACATCTTTTACGCTTTGCCTGATTTCTTCACCCACTCTCCTCCAGCAGCCGCTAGTAGGAGCAGTGCTTTAAGTAATAATCACCACATTAATCATTTTGCACTGCAGACACAGTAGTTCTTCTGTCTTAGTGTCTTGGTATGATTGCATTTCCATGAAGTTTCGGCTTCACTCAGTGTGGCTTCTGTGATGCCAATGACTACCTACAGTATCTATGGGAACTGTGGTCCTCAATCTTCTTCCCCGGAGATGGTAAATCAGGTGCATCTTGTTGCTAGCTTTTCAAACACCATCTAGGTTGTTAATCCCTCTTGTCTAATTCCAGTGTCTTCCTGAGTTCCATTTGTGATTGCTGGCCGTGTTTTGACCTCATGTCTTTGGACACAAAATTTGAGAAAAGTATGATTCTCCCATTTTTGTGTCACCTCTAGCTCATAAATGTGGGATATTTATTTGATTCTGGCGAGCTGTTCTATGCTTTCAAAACATTTGCATGATTAGTCATGTGCATACACAAACAGAGCTGAAGCACAGACTGCCACTGAACATTTAAGCCAAAATACATCACATTTGTTTAGACTGTGCTCCCCATGAACCTCTTTCCTCAACAGAAAATATGGTTCACTTACACATGGTTCTGTTTGGTTTCACCTTTATACCACGTATAAATGTCAAACGCACGCTGACACCAGAAACATGTTTATGATCCAGTCACATGCACATGATTAGTGTTAACTAATGAAGAGACTCCATGTATCTCTTCAAACAACACATTTCACCAGCCATGCTCACACAGATGGAGACACTTTGGAAACTTTCCCTCTTTTTTTTTCTCAGCCTGCCCTACCAGTGGGAAGCCTGGAAGTTCTCTGCCCCAGTTCTCCATGTCCTTGAGAGTTGTGCCTTCGGGCCGGGGCTGGTGGGGTCCCGTGGTGCACAATGTGTGCTTCTCACTCAGGCTCCCGCTGTACTCCGCCGCCCCTGCGTGGCTCTGGAGAGTTGCCAAACTCTGAGGGGTTTGTCCATGCGAGTGGGGGAGCATGCATGTTACCACAGAACCGCTCTGAACATCTCACTTCCCCTACCTCCCCATGACGGCGGACCAGGTATAAATCACTTTCCCGGATTGGCTGGCTACAATGGGATCCATGGGAAGATGTTGTTATGAATAATCAGACTAATTGCAGTAAACAGTGTGAAGTGATGTGCGAATGACTGAGGATCTTGTTTTCCCGACATCCTGTTTTCGCAAAGGTTAAACCAATAGGTAGAGTGTCTGATGAAGCCAATAAAATGCACGAGAGATTTAGTCAGGATAAGAAGGAAATGAAATTCTCTTTGAGATCGGCGTAATGTATTCTTTAAGTCAACATTATATTACTTTTGTTTAATGATTAAATTAAATCACTGGAAAAGGTAATTATAAAGAGTGGTCATAAATTGTAGCTGTATGTGTTTGACAAATCTCTTTATATTTTATTCAGTACATATGCAATGTTGTGGTTTTTTTTTTTGTAATTAATATGGATATTGGCCGACAGCAAAGATAAAGATCCATTTTCTAATATTTTGTCCTTGGATTTTGCACTCAGGGAATTCACTCCCCTTTTTCTCTTTCGTTTCCCTGGCTAAGGCATGGGGAATTGGTGGGATAAGAGGCTATTCCCTAAATAGCCCATGGCAAGAGGTATCCTGATTAGCATGCTGCCTGCTCTCTGGCAGCAGTCCTCCAGGCCACCAGCGCTATCACTTACGTGCTGTTTGTATTTGTAGTTGATAGTGTGTGCTGTTATAATTGGAATGAGCTCAGGAACCTCGTTTGCTTTTGATCCGCTGCCAGCCACTCAGAGTGCTACTGGGCCACAGCTCTCACCTCAACACTCCCAGTGGATTATGGGAAACTGCAACGCTTATGTTCTAAAAAGCGCCTGACAGCATCTCACTCAAGGTCGAACAATACAATGGTTAGGGAAGGGAGTAGAACAAAAAAAAAGATGGAGGGAAAAGTTGAACAGATATTTGAAGCAATGCTGAGTATTGAGACAGAAACTGGGAAAATGCCATTTAAGACTTTTCAAACTAAGAAGTAGGTATCAATGGCTATGTGTGTTTGTTTGAGGTAGATTCAATGACAAACACAAGCATCTCATGGCGTTACAATACTCAGAGGACCGCTGACCTCTGCATGAACTAAATCTGCTTGTACATGACCAACAAGCTGAGCGATAGCAATGTGTGCCTCATGGAGATAACTTGCATCTTAACTTGAGAAAATGTGTAAATGTTGAAAAGCTTTTTTTTAAAGTGGGGTTCTCAGCTTGGGCTCTCTGATGAGAAATTGAGCAAAAGCCAGAATTCAGGCTCAGCTATCAACTGCTCTAGACGGGGTAAATTGTCACGTCATTTGGCAAATTTAGAGAAACACAAACATTAATATCAGTGTAAGTCTCCCCTTAATTTGAACATTTTCAGCGCTTCACTTTTCGGTCGGAGA